GCGTCGGCTAACTTGCGCATGATCTACGATGTCGGTGAGCGATGCCCTCCCAATGTCCTGGCACGCTGCTGAGAGTTTACAAAGTTTACACGCGTTCGATTTTCAACTTCGCAAGATCTTGTCGTGCGGAGTTGTGACGTGCATAACTGAGCAGTTCAGCGTGTGAGTCAGTCGGGGCAAGGGTTGCTGGGCATGGCATGACAGGTGATGAGCCAACGATGCATGATGCCGCTCGCCTTTCAAATAACTGTCAGCGGCTACTGAAAGTTTGCAGTTTGTAGTAGTTTGTAGTTTGTAGTTTGTAACGTAGTAGATGCCATTTGCTGACCTGAGGCATCAAGCGAATTTGACATCAGAGATCCTGTGGAAAACAATGGACATCTTGCCGGATTTGTGGGGCCCTTACACTCCGGACACAACCTAATTACACAGAAACCGCGATTCTACCATCTATCATCTATCGTCAGCAGTTAGCTCACGTTTGTGAGTTGCTGCCGATTTCTTACATAAGGTTCTGCTTCGCGTCACTCCTGGGGCAGGGGAGCCTGTTCTACGAACTCTTGGTTCATTCGCGCCAGCTTATCGAAAAAGAACTGGTGATATCATATGACCCGTCTTGAACTTAGTGTGCGTGATTCCGTGGCTAGCTAGCACGTTGGCATCATCAGCTCATGATTCCTCCGCTCCTTTCCAATGTTCCAGATTAAATGATTAAATGGTGATGAGGCCTTCAGCCGAAAACCAGCTATATGCGAGAGAGTTTGTGACGGAGGCTTTGAAGTGCAGTGCTCTGCTCAGTCGCATCCGGTAATAACTTCTGCAGTGATGATTCTTCTGAGTGGCCCGGAGTAGTGGTGGTTTGAGTCGAGTTTGAGTTTGAGTTGTTCGAGTCACAACTTGTCATGTTCATCATCCACTAGCTGGAGGTGCTCGCATTGGTTCAACAGCAGACGCGGACAGCTTGGTGAACCATAACATGGATGTGCTGTTGGAGATGGCAAACGGTGTCTGGACCTTGGTCGCCAGCCAGTGACAGTGATAGAGACTCGAGACACTGTTTGGAGTCTGGAATCTTGGATTTGGAAATTATATGCCTCAGGATTGGAAAAGCTCGCGAATGGTGCACCATTGTAAATTCGGCTGCTGCAAAAACGCAGCGGAGTCGCGTGCGAGCCTGACATGCTAGGCTCAGGAGTCAGGAGTGCAGTCTGTTGAGTCATTTGGTCAGTCACGTTCAGCGGCGCAGAGTCACAGTCTCATCGCAGCGCAAAGGCAAAAAACTTTGGTGCGCTGTGCTGGATGTCATATTCTCTTCGCGACCGGATATTCCCATCCTATCGCGATGGCTCACATGTGCATCTACCTCCAGATTCTTTATGCTGGCGACGGGAATGCACAACCTCCTCGGGAAAGCGTGGGGGCGGCTGTTCAAGGACACTGGCTGCAAGAAGGCCGGTTTGCTTGATATGTCAGTTCTGTCAGATAGGCAGGCAGGCACAGTCGCATGTCTTGTGCGAGCAGTTGTCGGTCGGCGGTTTGCGTTAGGGTTGACTGAAGCAGACAAGTGTTTGCTGCAGCTGTGCTGCACTTTCAAGATTGGTGTCAGTGAGTGCCGGTGCCATGGACATCGGAATCGGCGTGCCCTCCGTCACTCCGACTCCACCTGCCGAGACGCCCGAGACACTACTGCCAGCGGCATCCGACATGGGAGCCGCGCCGCCCGCCGAGGCAACTGATGCAACTGCGACTGCAACCGAGCAAGCATCCTCATCTGGCCCATCTGGCGGCGGAGATGCTCCCTCCATCGCGGCTGCGACCCGGACCCTGCCATCATCGTCAGCAATGCCATCCGCCGGACTCCCGCCATCTGCTTCGGTTTCGTCCATGCCCACTACGGACGACATCGTCAGCTTCATGCGCCAGGCTGAAGGCTTCACGCGGAAAGCTGACTCCTTTATGGACTATGCGCAACACTTTTTTTTGAATGGTCGATCCCAAAGCTGAAGCAGGTAGACTCTATCGCCACGAGGCTAGCACCAGCTGGACCGCCCCCTCCGATGTTGCCTGACTCGTTTCATGCTGGTTCGAAGATTGGTAGCCTGGTAGACCTTATACTTATAGTCTTATAGTGTCGGAGTGTCGGAATCGAAGTTCGATTTGATTAGTGCTCGAGTAGTCTTTAGTACTCGGTGTCAAAGTTGTTGTGACGATTGTACGTGTGCCCAGCTGAGGCCAGTCGCTGTTGCGGTTTCAGCAGCTGGTTCAGCCCATGAGAGCGACGACAGCGAGCACATTTCCGAGTCCAGTCGTAGTTCGAGGAGCCGGAGCCGGAACAGGCGGCGTTCGCCCTTGCCCGGCTAGGCCTCGGCTCCGTTGAACGAGTCCATCAGCGTGTCCTGTAAGTTCTATTGGTGATAAATATTTATTCACCGGCTGCGGCTGAGTGATGTAGTCGTAGTTCGAGGAAGAGCCGTGGACTTGTCATTGGGATGCCGGGGCCGGGGCAGTGTAGCTTTGGCTTTGTGTGGCCTTCTGACCTCTAGCTCTGGCGTTGACGGTTGGATCGATCGGCCGCGGAAGAAAGAAGCAAGATGTTCGTTATCACGAGATTGAGTGCTGCCATGTGTGAGTTGAGTTCATCCGGTTTAGGCTGAGACTTTGATTTGTTGAGAGATGTCTTTCGACAGGCCAGCGCAGCAGCCCTCATCGATGACACCGACGATTATCATCGAGTCCAGAGGACACGCGCACGACGCGTGAGCACCTTGCTCAAGAAGCCAAATTTGGCTTCATGCCTTAAGGTGTCGTCGATCATGATCGGCCCTGTCGAGCGAATCCAGCAGCCAGTCCTGTAAGTTCTGTTATTGATTGGCGACTGGTGATGACTGAGTGTAGTAGTGCGCGCCATGCCATTGCAATGACTATCCCAGGTTCAAGTTCTTCAAGGAGTCATCGAACCACCAATGGCTTTCCGACAACCCTTCAACATTGCCGGCTGTGGCAATGGCGTCATCTTCACGGTCGCCAGCAGCAAAGGCTATCCAAGAGTACGCAACCATGATGCTGCAAACGCCCAAACTTCTAGAAGGCAGGCAAAAGTAGCTGTCGTCTGTCAACTGCTATCGTGATACCGTGATTCATTATCACTGTCATACCAGTCGGTAGCTGCGAATGATCAGGATTGGATCCTGATGATATGCAAATGGCGCATTTCAGCCTGCACTCCATCATGTCTCACACATGGCATCGGCTGGTGGTGCCATTCCAGGCGAGTTGGCTCGAGTTGATTCTGAAGTCACAGGCCAAGTCGGTCAAGTCGTGTTGAGGTTGAGTTTTATCACCTAGGCTTGGCCGATGAAGCTTAGCCTGATCTTGGACGACACACTGTCCCGTGACGAGAAGCTTGCGGTTGCGACTGAGTTCTGCCAAGCTAGCACATGCTGTTTGGATAAACATTTCTCGCAGAAGCTTCGGGCTTTCATGCAGGCCAGACGTACAGCTCTTGTACTTTTCCGTGCCGCCTGCCGCCTACCACAGCTTCATTGCTTCGAATGATTGCTCAGTGCAGGCGAACCAACATGGACCCCGCGATCTCCTGCCTGGTGGGCCACTGTACGGTCTGGCACGAGCCCTGGAGCTAGCTTTCGAAAAGCCAATGTCATGCTCTTGTTACTTTCTGAGTCTCACTGTCTCGGTCTGAGTCTGAGAGTCTGATTCTCAGTCCGTCTTTATCAGAGTCTCTGCCTACTATAATCACTATAATCTGCTGAGACTGCAGACAATCTACAATACAGTTTGGGGCCGGGACTGCAGACAATCTACAATACAGTGGACTCAAGACTCAAGACTCCATATGAGCTGCAGGTGAAAACCGCAAGTATGAGAAAACTCATCAATGCGGAGATCGAGACCAACTTCGCCCGGGCTGCATCGCAACGTGCGTGACTTGGCAAAGGATGGTGGATTGTCAGTGTGTAGTGTAGTGTGTGTCCAGAGTGCAGTGCAGCAACCAAATCACTTCGTTTCCAAGTTCCTGACACTTGGCACACTGGTAACTGGCAGCTACTGCTCTTTAGTGTCATTGTTTCGCTTGCTGGCTTAAGGTCCACCCGTGGACGTGGACAAGGTATTGCCGGGATGGCAACTTGTGTGCAATGTGGCGATGTGTCGGGTGCTGTAGGGTAGTATAGCAGTAGCCGTGTTAACGGTGCGTTTCGAGTTTCGACTGTTGGCTTCGACTTCAACTGTAAGTTCATTCATTCATCCATTCTTAAAAATAAGAAAGCTCTTAGCTAGCCAAGGTGGCGAAGTTCATCTTGTCTGAAATCCAGAAGCAACATCAGCGGTTTTCTTTGGGCAGTGCGTCGGCAGCCTTGGCAGACCGTGCATCCGGGTCCAGTGCGGCAGGAGCGTTCACGAACGCAAGCCTTATCAGCCACGTCGTCGCGTATTATAACAGCTGTGCCGTAACCATCAGTATACAAGTCTAGTCGTCAGGAGTGGCAATCCCAGATGATGAGCCTCCTCCCAAGATGTACAACGGGTTCACGCTGTACATGGCGAACTGCTTGCAGAACAAGGCACCGAGACACCGAGACACAAACACAACCAGTACAAGTTTCCAGCCAGTTGGAAGGGTTCCTGTTTGCATGAAATCAGGTGACAAAGCCAAGCGAAACTGCAGAACAAGCGCGGAAGCGCGTGTGGCACGATGCAGTCACACGCTGGAGGAACACACCCGGCTTGAAGGAGGTCTGCAGTGGTTGCGTGATCATTTGCGGGGATTACATGTGTGCTGTGTGCCTCTAACACATGCAAAGTGAGAATGAAGATTTTTGTGAGGAGATGCGTCAGCGTGCGCAGATTGTGAATCAGACCGAGCGGGAGCATCAGAGTGCAATGTTGGCCGCTCGTGCCAACGATGCTACTGAGCTGGTTCCGAATGCTGATGAGCCGTGTGAGCGGCCACACAACGTTAAAGCATTCGATCTTGCCGGGCTGTCAGACACGAACTTCGCTATAAGTGAGGAGTCACTGAAGGGGGCCCGAAAGGCATACCGTGGCAATTGGATCCAAGACAAGCACCGCGAATTTTGTGCGGCGTATGGCTCCCTGACTGTTCGCGCAGGCCAGGGTACTGAGCAGGAGGATGACGGTCCAGTGCCAGAATCTGCGTGTCAGTTCCTGTATTGTCCGGGAGTGTGTAGACAATCTGTTGCAGCTATTGGAGGACAGTACGACACGTTTCAGGCGGAGTGCAACGCTTTGCTCAGGCGTCTGAGATCTATCAGACGGGAAAAGGGATACTTGCCGTTGCACGGCGTTCTGATGGTGATGGACAACCAACACAAGACGATTCTGCAAGTCCACCTGCTCACTCAGATCTCCTTTTCTCCTTTTGACTTTTCAGCGTTGCAGATGAGGCTTCCACCGAACGGTTCATTACCAATGTCGGTGGACACTGACATTTCCGGTGTTGGTCAGAGTGTGAGTGTAGTTTTGCGTAACAAGGCCAAGCTTTTGTATGAGCTCGCCTCGATGCCGGGATGTGTCCTGGCCACCACAAACCACAAAGCTGTGTCTTTGCGAACCATCTTACTCGATGGTGATGTGGAAATGTTGTCTGATATACGTGCGGGTGGGAGCGGTGGTGCGAGTGGCCGTGGCCGCATGGGGTGTGACTCGGACAGTGACAGGGATGAATCGATCATTGATCAACTTCAAGGGATGTTGAAGCGTGCAACCCGTGGACAAGTAGCCCCGAAACAACAGCCTCAGAAGAGGAAACGTGCCAACGTACCCTCCAGCCACACTGTGCGTAAGAAGCCTCGAAGATCGACTGCATATGACGCAGCAGGCCAACCGATTCATGATCTGGCCAGCCAGGTAGACCGAGAGATCGAGGCAACGTGGATTGATGCAGCCATCGGAGAAGCTGGCGACATGCCAACTGCGGCTGTTGCACATGAGCCTGCTTCGTCATCAAGGGCTGCTCCTGCTCCACAACAGGTATCGGGGCAGGAATCATCGCAAACAGTAGCAGCTGACCAGCGTCGTAAGCCGTGGAAGGATGAGAAAGGTTACTGTTTTGCTATGGTACGCTCTGATTCTGGTGATGTTCGACACAAGCATTTGGGTGGCTTCGCCTGCATTAGCGCAACCCGATATCATGTGCAGTCACAGACATTGTTCCAGCGCTGTGTGTGCCAGGTGACAGTGACGGTGATAGCTCAATCACATGTCGCGTTCAACATATGAGGTCGCATCACTGAAGTGCGACCGGGCACTACAACACATGCTGTGAGTATCCGGTGCAGCGTCTCAGAATAATTTCAGACATTGAGAATGAGAAGTGTGCTAATGGGCTGTGTGAGCAAATCATAAGCGTCCGTCTGGTTTGTGATGCGTTGTCATATGCGATGCTATCTTCAATCTTCGTCAGGTCTTCATTCGAAATGTTCCCAGTTGGTTTCTGTGAGCAAGCTTCCGAATGACTGCGAACCTGCTATTCTAGCGTGGCTGGAAGCTGGTATGAAGATTCCTGACCGTTCCCAAGCTGCAGAGCACAAGGAGCTGTGACTCGTCCAGCAGATAACGTTGCACGCTGCTGCTGCGGCGTGGTTGGTTGCGCTGTTCTAGCTTTGTAGCTGCAGTGTGTGCAGCTCAGCGAGTACGATGTCAGGTTCAAGCGTTTCCTATCGCCAGCATCCTCCTGATGGGATGAGGCGATGCCATGTCGCATTGCAATTTGAATTTGAAGCCACGGGCCACTGGGCTTTCTGAGCCGCTGCGGATTTGCTCCAATTCGTGTGAAACAAAACAAACAACAGTCTGAGTCTGAGTCTGAGTGTTGAGGTGCAAGTGCCAGTGCCAGTGTGTGTGTGTGCATGTGAGCCAGCGATACGAGACCCGTTGATTATTGGTTTGCAAGCCTGAGCTACAGCTCTCACACTAGACACCAACCTCGCTGCCAACCACACTGACATGGCTGGACGGGCGAAATCGCTGACCGCACAGTCTGGGGCTGCTGCCCCGGATCCACCGGCGGGTGTGCAGTTTCCGGCAACTTATGTTGCTAAGAGGTGCAAGAGATGCGGCACCTGGTCCACCAGCCGCTCGAGGTATGATCAATTGAAGAGCCCAGAATCTCAATGGGGACTTTGCGTGGCGTGGGGGCGTGGCAAGCCGCCAGATGAACCGCTTGGTTGTCACTGCCTTTGCTGTAAGAAGGCCGGCCTGTCTGTGGACTTAAGTCGAGTTGTTGTAGAGTTGTAAGTTGTAAGTAACTTTTCTTGTTGCTCAGGCAGCTTAGTTTGTAGCATAGCCGTGTCGCCGTCACCTAGGACGCCAGGGCCCTGTACCTGCACCCTGCGCTGCACCCTGCGCCCTGCACCCTGTACCCGCACCCTGCACCCGCACCCTGCACCCGCACCCTGCACCCGACCCCCGCACCCTGCACCTGCGCCAATTTAGCGTGACATTTGAGCCATTTAGCAAAGCATTTAGCCCAAATGTCACG